GGGGCGGGGCCAGAGGAGGAGGGCACTCACCTTGCCCCAGAGCTGGGCTTGTAGAAGAGGGTGAAGCTGACGGAGCTGGTCACCTCGGACCTCACCTCCCAGGAGCAGCTGAGTGTGTGGGCCCCGTTGAAAAAGCACTGGAGGTTTTGGGGCTGGGCCTCATCCCCTGAGGGAGACCTGTCTTGTCAGTGCTGTCCATCCCTTGTTCATTCATTCATTCATTCACTCTGAGCTCTAAGTGAGGACGTGTGAGGGAAATCTTCCTTCCTTCATTTCTTCATCCATCCCTCATTCATTCATTACCTCTGTGCTCTGAGGACATGGGAGACGTTCCTTCACTCATTTATTCATCCATCCCTCATTCATTCATTCATTCATTCACTCCTCTGTCATCCATCCATCCATCCATCCATCCATCCATCCATCCTTCCATCCATCCACTCTCTACCTCTCCTGAGGCCCACAAGGAAATACTACAGCAAGAACGGGAGTGTCAAGGCCCAGAGACCAGAGTTCTAAGCGTAGCTGACCCCTGGCAGCCGTGTGACCACAGGGACAGAGTAGACCGTGAACCACCCTGTTTTTGTGTGGGCAATGGGAGGAGAATCTGAATGTCAGCGCTGTGGGGACAGTCATGCTGCACAAGGGGTCGTCGTTAAAAGTGCAGCAAATGTAATTGCTGTTATCTTAATTGTGAGCAATCAGGAAGTATGCAGAAGATGGGGGACCAAGACACATCCCACCTTCCCCCAAATTCAGCAGAGACAAGGGACTGTAGCTCATCCTGACACGTCAGATTCCTGGGGTCTTGCAGGATAGGTGCAGACAGCCTCCTGCTCCAAGAGCTCGTGAGGACCCACCTTCCTCACAGATGAGCCCTCCTAACTCTAGGTACCTGGCTGGGAGCTCCACTTGACCTCTGGGCTCCAATCGCTAGGCCTCCCCAAGAGTCCTGTGCCCGGGGCCAGCAGGGTCCGCACTCGGGCCACGTAGGTGCTGCTGGGTATGAGGTGCTCAGGCCCCAGGATGGCCCGGGAGGAGTTGATGGAGAGGGTGGAGGCCTCCTGTGGAGAGAGGGGAGCTGGAGGACGCCGGGTGGGGCCAGGTCCCTCTGGGCTTCGGGTAGAGCTGATCAAGGTCCCCTACCTCCCAGGAATCCTGCAGCCGCCGGTAGACCAGCTCGAACTCCACGTGTGACTCAGACAGCCCAGGACTCTGAGGATCTCCAAGGAGCACCTTCCAGGTCAGCAGGAAGTGGTCTCCAGTGTCATTGACCTGCAGGTCCTGGGGTGCAGGGGGCTGGACTGGAGGAAGAGCAAGTGAGGGACAAGTCAGGGACAGGGCTGAGGCCATGACTTCTTGCGATGATAGAACAAGACTCCAGGCCCAGGGCTGCCCCTACGTGCTGACTGACCTTATCCCCTTGGCCTGTCACCTGTGAGCCTTATGGGTCAGGTGTCAGTAGGAACGACGCTGTGCAGGTGCTCTGCACGTATAGTGTCAGCTCAGTTAGAGACGTTCACAAAAAAAATAAGGCCTCTAGCCTTTCTGCATTCTCATTTTCTTATTCTTGTCAGGTCTAAAGCAACATAGCTGTCCCTCCTGTGGGTTGTCTGTAAACGGCATGGGAGGAAATTGCGCATCTTTTTCCAGTGAAGCTGCTGGTGGACTCGAACTGCTAAAGAAGTCCCCCCCCCCCTTTGGCTTAGCAGAGCCGCTACCCACCCCCTGGGCCACCAGTGTGCCCTGGACTCTCCTCCTCCCCACAATCTGGTCTGTGCAGCCTCCTTCCAGCAGAGGGCGCTGTGGCGCATGTCCTTCCCTCTCCAACATTCATTCCGCTTCTTCAAGGTCAAGGCCCAGGCTCAATGTCTCCTCCAGATGATAGTTTTCAGTTGCCTCCTTCCCCTGGGGTGACTCTGGAGTCCTTTTCTCGTCCCACTGTATTTTCAGTTGTTCTCTCCTTGGCTTGTTCTCATGGCCTCAGACTCATTTACAACATGATGTGACAGTGCCCTATTCTGCACCATATTCATGCTTGTTGGTGTGTTTGAGCCTGTTTTTTATTTTTTTTGCACCCATTGCTAGTGCCACAGCATCTTGCCATAGCCCTTCACTATCTCCACCATGCATTATCACCCCTGATGCTTCGTGTCGTCACATCTGCCTCCCCAAGCAGATGAGGAGTTTGGGGTAGTCCAGGGCGGAATGTTACCTCTCTCTCAATAGCCAGTGAACTTGGAGTTGATGGTGAATGAATGGATGAGTGAGTGAGTGAATTCATGCCGACAACTTTACAGACTTTTCATGAAGTTACTCTATCAATCGAGCAGCCAGGACATGTCTGCTAGAACCTAATAAGTTAGAAGCATTAATGAATGATATTGCTCCTGCCTTTCTGAAGCTTCTCTGTCTTAGTGATCAGGGATAACTTTCAAATGCCAAAAGTATTTAAAAAAGCAACACAAACAGGACATAAATGAATGGTCTATGCTGTACAAGCGTCATGATTTGTTAGAAGATGCAGGAGTTGGGGGTCCCTCAGAAATCCTTAACCCAGAATGGAGATAGCAAGGCAGTACGCTACCCCACTTCCAACCCACACCCAGGCAGGCATTACTAATGGATTGCCATATTCTTTACCAATGACCCTACCCTGCTGTGGGGATCCTTCTCTGCACAGAGCTCTAGAGAGCTTCTACCACCTGTTCAGACTACCCCCTATTCAGACAGTGAACCAACTTATCTAACCTAAGGTCTTTCAGTCCACACACTCATTTCACAAGTAACTGATAGAGGAAGCGAAATGATCATGATCTTCAAATGTGAGAACCTCAGAGAAGATCAGGTGCAAATCTGTCCCCTTCTTTGCCCTTTGGGGTCTCCCTGAATCATTGCAAAACTCCATGGAGCAGATCACATCTCCCAACTCGGCGTGTGCTCTGGGCAGCAGTTCCTGCTCCTCCTGGTCATCTCTAAGTTGTCCCTGTGTTCTCCACTCAGGAGGTTTCCTGCTCCCAGACGCCCAGCTCCCAGGCCAAGATGCTGATGGATTCCTCTGCTCTTCTAGCTGACACGGGTCCTTAGCAATAAATGGCTTCTATTTTCTGTAATTTTCAGACTCTCTATTGGGTCCTAGGGCACTCTGGTGGCCTATGGCCTAGTGGTAAGGAGCCTCACTGCATCTCAAAGGCACATGGTTCAAATCCACCAAACCCTGGGGGAGAAGGATGGGAAATGTCCTCCTTTGCGATTAAACTCTCTCTGAAAACCCGCTGGAGGGTCAGCAGTGAGGAGGTTCCTACTTGATGGCACATAACAACAAACAACCACCCTAGGTCCTGGAGTTCTGGTAACAAACAATCAAATGTGTGACTGCTAACCAGAAGGTCAATGGTTCAAACCCGCCAGCTGCCCCTGGGAGGAAGCTGGATAGTCCTCATCTGGAGTGAATACAGCTTTGGAAACTATAGGGCAGTTCCATAAGGTTGTTAGGAGTCACAATCTCCTTGATGACAACAGGCCCCTGGGTGACACAAATGGCTTGCTCTCATCTACAAATATCAAAGGAACCTTGATGGTTCAGTGGCTGAAGTGGTCAGCTGCTAAGCCAAAGAGCAGAGGTTCAAATCCACCAGCCGCTCCACGGGAAAAAGATGTGTCCGTGAGCTTTCATCAAGATTTACAGCCTTAGACGGAGCGATAATGGGCACAGAGCGATGGTAATGGATGATAGAAACTATACACGAATGATCGTATAAAACACAAAGAATATCTACAAACATGATGTATGTGAATGATTGTATGCAAACCAATTTTTTAAAATATATATATTTCTCCTTGGAAACCTTATTGTGCAGTTCAGCTGTGTCCCACATGGTTTCTGTGAGTTGGCATCAACTATCAAACCATGACAGTGGGACTAACCTAAAGTCTGGCGGGGGGAGGCCACTCAGGGATGCTTCAGGAGAAAGGGAACCCACTCCACAGGCTCACGGCTGTTCTACACCGGTTACCCTGAGTCAAGGGGGTGGGGTGGCAAGGACTCAACACTGATGGGTTTTTTCTCCTCCTCCCCAGATCCCTGGTGCAGGTAGTTGACACTTCCCCAAGAAGTTGGCTGCTTGAGCTCACCTAGAGATGCTGTGAAAGATAGGACTGAGGATCTATATTTGTAAAAATGACACCTAACAGAGCCGTATGGACAGTCCTTCTCAGTGACAGGTAGAGGGACCTTGAGCCTGAGTTGATAGTCTCCCTGGGGACAAGCACCTTAGACCTCTAATCGGTTTCAGGCTGCCCCACACCTCCCTGTCTTTCCAACCCATCCTACATATATATCATTCATTCTCAATGACGCCTGAGCACCTCACGTCTTTCAGTGACATGGTTTAAAGCAGACACTGAACTTCTCTGCAAGGCACAGACAGCACTGCTGATCCAGACCCCTTCCTGCCTGCAGCATCCCCGCTTCTCCCCCCACTGGGGAGCCCTCTAGGAGTTCACACTCCTGAGCACATAGGACAGGACGAAGGCTTTGTCCAGAAGTCACACCCTCCCCATCTCCAGCCTTGTCTGTGCTGTTTCCTCTGCCACGAGAGCCATCCCACACCCAATGCCACCTCTCCGTCTTTCAGATCTTCCTCTGGGAAGCCTTGCCTGGTCCCCCAGGTGATCCTTGCCCTCCATCCCTCTGCAAGGCACACGTCTGGCTTCAGGAAACCATCATCCCATTACATCTACTGCTCTGTCAGCTCCAGCCTGTGGACTCTGAGCTTCATTTTGGAGGAGACTCCTGTTCACCCACCAAACAAATATCTGAAATCTTGTTGAAAATTAATTCAGAATTAATTCAGGCTGGTCTGCCCACCCATCCTTCCAGGCAACAGCCTGGTGATACTGTGATGGAAAGAGGCAGGAAACTGAGGCCAGAGCCCCCTCCCCACCAGGTGCTTGCCAAGGCAGCAGGTGGTACGGTGTTTGACACCCAGGATGCCAAAGTGAGAAACTAGAAGAAGAGCAGCCTTGGGGGATTCTCCTCACTCACTCTCTCAACCTCAGTTTTGGCATCAATGAAATGGAGCCGTAAAATAGTGTATAGCTCCAAATATCATTTTAAGGAATAAATTAGAGGGGGCAATGTGTTGGAAAAGCCAGACATCGGTGGCTTTTGCCACATGATTATTAACTTCTCAAAGTGACCTTTCATGGGGATTTTCATCTCATTCTGAGCATACATGCCATTGACTATATGAAGATGAAAGAAAAGTGCTATTATTTTTCCAAGATAAGTATAATACAACTATTTAGATAGAAATGGTCATCTATACCCACAGCAGACTTGTCATCATTTCTCATCATGCCAAGGACAGGCAGGGACACCCAATGGGGGAGGGGAGACAGGGCAAGGGCTGCAGGAAGGGGCGGGGCTCCATCTCTAACGTGTGGGGAGCCCTGGAGGGGTCTACCCCACCTCTGCAGTGATGCTCAGCAGTGGGGCTTTGGGGGAGTGACTTTATCTCTCAAGGCCTCAGTGGTTCATCTATAAAATGGGTTGTGGAGGAAGGTGGATGAAACCACATTGGAGAATGAGTTTTGCAAGCTGTGATGTTTCTACCTGGACAGGAAGCCTTGCTCTTCTGTAAGTGAAGGATTCGGTACTGACCGCCCATGGCCTGGCAGGAGGTGGGAGTAACCGGGGTCAGGAGGCCGTCCCTCCACCCAGAACCTTCTCAGGCTGTGCCTGCTGCAGAGCCTCTATGGTAAGGACAGCAGAGCCTTTCCCCTCATGGGATTGAAGCTCACCTCCACATCAATGTCTCCAGACTCCTAGAGCCAGGCCATTGGGGAACACTGTGCAGGCAAGGGACCAAGCGTTGGCCAGGGACCCCAAACCCTCACCGTTCTGACTCAGGGTAACAGCGAGCTGGGCACCGAGAGGTCTGTCTGGCCGGAAGGAGAAGTAGTCATCAGAGCCGAGGGCGAAGTAGCTGCGGGTGATGACACATCTTCTGGACGCGCAGGGTGGAGAAGGGCAGCGTTCCCAGGGCTTGTCCTCGCTGAGCTCACAGGTCACTGGCTGTGGAGTTTCCCTGATGGGAGAGGACACATGTGAGCCCAAAGTGAGCTGTATGTACTACCCACCACATCCTGCAGGGGGCTCCTACCACTAGGCTGTCCAGGGCCAGGGCAGCCAGTGCCTGCCCTTGGGGCTGTCATCTTCCAGGAGGAAACACAGTACACAAAGGGATGAAAGGTGGAGTGTGTCAGAAAAGTTTAAATAAATAGAGCAGAAGAGGGGGAATGAGGAAGCCAAAAAATTTGGAGCAGGGGATGTGACAAGAAAGAGTTACAACATTTGCACTGAAACTTGGAGCTGAGAAAGGCAGCCCTAGAAATTTTGGGAAATTTGTGAAATCTGGGAAAAGGGTGGTTGAGGAAGCAGTAATGTGTGCAAAGGCCCTGGGGCCGGCACATCCTGGAGTATAGCAGGAACAGGGAACTGGCATGTTTGAGGCAGGGTTTGGGGAGCTTCCCTTCTGGGGGTGTTGTTTCTCTGCAGGAGGGAACAAGGCTCAGGCTGAGGATGAAGATGATGGAAGAGGGTGGAGCTGGGCACCCTGGGAGCAGGGGAGAGGAAGTGAACTTGGAGGAGGTATGGGGCGGGCAGAGCTTGCTCCTCCAGGGGGCAGTCTCCAGGTGGGAGGATCTCCCCAAGCGGACTCTCTGTCCAGGTTTTTGTGGGTTTTTTTTCTTTTTCTGTTGGTTTTTTTTTTCCATAATTTCCTTTGTTTTTCTCATTATTGAGGATGTACACGGTGGAATACACATCAGCTTAGGCTTTTCTGCACGTTTAATTCACCCACTCTTGGAGCTGTGTTTTTACCTTTCCTTACAGAGCTGATCTTCCTTCTCTATCCAGATATTTCATTACCTCTGCTATGGCCGATGTGTTGTTGTTGTGTGCCATTGAATTGGAACTGACCCGTGGCTGAGTGCCCAGGGCTTCTCAGAGGCAGTAAATCGTATGGGAGGAGATTGCCCATCTTTCTCCCTTGGAGCAGCTGGGGATTCAAAGCGCATGCCTTTGGTGTGGCAGCACAGCTTCTAACCACTGGGGTCACCAGAGCTCAATGTATGGACTAGTTAGAATCTTACTCATATGAGAACTTCCCCAATGGAGTGTGAGCAGGAGACACGGGGTTTGAGAGGCACAAACCACAGGTGACGGAGGGGTGAGGGTCCCAGGTGGGTGGAGCCAGCCCCTCAGGCCTGGCCTCAGTTTCCTCACCTGTGAAGTGGGCAGCCCGTCTCTGCCCTGCTGTCTTCATGGCAGGATGAGCAAGGCACTTAGGATACTGTGATGAGACGGGCCGTCACCACCACCATCTCTATCACCAACGACGCTCATACACACAGCCCTTCCTGATGCCTCATCTCAGGGTGCAGCCTGGGGTCTGGCCAGTGGCCTGCTGGACCAGGAGCTCTCAGCAGGGTCTCCTCACCCTCAGCCCACTGGGAAGCCCTCATGCCCATGCTGACCCCGCACCTCTGTGCACTCTCCACAGCCCCCGAGGCCACTCACCTGTTCAGTTGGTGATAGAGGGTCATGTTGATGAGCCGCTGACTGGCCACGATGTCCGCCCACCTGCACTCGATGCGGCTGGTGTAGTCATTGTAGCAGCTCAGGCTCTGCATGGGGACAGTATCTGACCGAGGAGAGGGGCAGCGTCACCCCTCTGTCCCTCCAGGTGTCCCTCGTCAGCTCCTCAAGTGCGCTGAAATGGGAGTCTCCCCGATCCTATCCAGGCCCCTTGGTGCATGGCAAAGATAGGGGTTCTGGGAGGAGCATCCTAGCTATCAATCACTCGAGTTATTGATACATCTCCTGAGTCCTGCTGTGGCCCCTGGAGTGACCCCAGGATGGGACGTGCAGCAGGCTCTTCTGTGTGCCTGGGAGCGAGTCCTAACCCCACCTATAGATGCAGCAAGGCAAACCGTGGGGTCTTCCTGCTCTGCCCTCTGTGGGTGCACATTAGGATGAGAAGTCACCCTACTCCAAGAGTCAGAGGGTCAGTCCAAGGGGACCCCAAGCATCTGGAAGAGGCTATTGGGAAAAATTGGGGTGGGGTGTGGGATGCAGGGTGTGGGGAGGCTGCTTTGAGGTGTAGGGAGTGTCTGGAGTGGTAGGGGGGGACAGAGGACAGTCTGTAGTGGTCACCTGGAGGTCAGAGCCTCCAAGGCCATCCTGAAAATGGAGGGCAGACAGCACCTGAGGTGGTTTACCAGGAGACTAGAGGAGAGTAGCCCTGAGTGGTAAGGGAGGAGAGGCGGGTGGCTGGCAAGGAATGAGGCAGGATGCTGGGAAGGGTCAGGAAGCCGGAAAGGGGGCAGGTTTCACTTCTGTAGGTGGGTGTAGAGGGACCTCACTTGCCCATCACACAGTGAGGAGGGGGCAGGGGAAAGGGATAGATCTATGGGACTCACCTTGGGTCCCCATCAAACTGGGTATCCAGCACAGTGCCAGCAGGACAATGTAATGTGGCCTCTTGGGTAGCGCCATCTCCCTGGTCGGCTCTAGGTGGGCAGGTGGCCAGCACAGGAAGGCTCAGGCTGTGGACCGAGCAGAGCCCTCACTGCGCTGGAACCTTCTGTTGTCCTCAGGCTGGGGGCCAGGCCAGGCACATGTCACTGGTTCTGGTGCTTCCTTCTTCCAGGATGCGGCTGGGACCTGCAGAAGGTGCTGTCAGTCCCTGCTGCCCTCCCCCCTGCAGCTTCGGGGGCCCAGTGGTGATGGCAAGACCCTGGGTAGAGGGCACAAGGATGGAGCATCCCCTTCTTCTTGAACCTCAGTGTCCTCACGTGTGAAGATGAGGAACATGGTTTAGAGGGCCTCTGAATCAGGAGTCCCCCATGGGTCCTGTCCTAGTCATCCTTACAGGGTTGGCCAATGGGACGCCAGGATGCAGCCTCGCTTTGTTAATTCCTCAAGACCTCTGACCCACATCTGCTTTGAGGAGTCACTAGATGTGGGGTGCCAAGTGTGATCACACACACACACACACACACACACACACACACACACAGACTGGAACACTCAGAGCCTAGCTCTTACCCCGCCCTCTCTATTTACTGTCATCCCTCAGAAAGCCAGTTCCTTTTCTGCTGCACAGGGGATTTCCTCATTTTGTTTTCCTTAGACGCTGGGAAGTACCCAGCAGAGGAACAGAGGATCGGGCGCCTTGTCGTCCGGGAAGATGGCCTGAACTCACTCAGGATACACACTTGCTAGGTAATGCCAATTCACGCCAGTTGTTGACTTACTGGATCCTTGTCCTGGGCCCCAGCCCGGGTTCTGCCCTGACTGCCTAGTACTCTGAGTGGAATCACAGATGCTCCCTGCATCTCATTCATTGTATCTGCAAAATGGGTACATGTATCTCACACAATTGCCACGGGAATCAAATGCAATGCTGAGGTTGGTCTGGCAAGTACCTTAGGAAAGAACAGGCTTAGAGCTGGAGAAGGGAACTTGTCCAGTTAAGCATTGGAAGATTAGGGACAATCTTCAGAGGTGTCCTGTGGCAGACATGTGGGCTGGTTTGCACATCTGTGCTCACCTATGAATTCCAGAACTTCCATTTGATGGACAGTGATTGAAGGTTTGACCTGAGCCAGGACCCTCTGAATCTCTTCATGAATAGAAATGCCCCATGTGGGAAGATAGCAGTGCAGCCCAAGGTTTAACACAATCCAGTCAAAACAGCTAACAAGGTGTGGTTGCAGGTACACAGGGTGTAAAACACACATGTGGAATGCTGATGATTTTTCAAAATAAAGAGGCTTCAGCCAAAATAAACATATACTACAAAGATCTGTTAAGCAAGAAAACCTGCTGTGCTCCTGTGCGCGCTCTCCTCTCTCTCTCTCTCTCTCTCCCCCCCCTTTCCTGTCTCTCTCTCTCTCCTCTCTCTGTCTCTCTCTCCTCTCTTTCCTTTTTCTCTCTCCTCTCCTCTCCTCTCCTCTCCTCTTCTCCCCTCTCCTCTCTCTGTCTCTTTTTCTCTCTCTCTTCTCCCCTCTCCTCTGTCTCTCTTCTTCCCTCTCCCCTCTCTCTCTTCCCCTCTACCCACTCCCTCTCTCTCACCCCTCCACACCTATCTCTAGGTAGAGAATCATTAATTACTGTGGAATGATGGAATGTTCCAAAAAAGGGAAAATATATAATTGACCCAACAGAATATGTATCAGCTTCCATTCCCATCTGACACTGTTTCTAAGGCTAATTTAAAAAGTGAAAACTTATTAAGCTTGCAAATCCCTGAAGTGAATACCTTTGAATTATTGAAGTTCAAAGGCAGTAGAAGCAAGAGAGATAAAGTCTTCTGAGTGTAACTACATAAATCTTCTCTATTTTGTTTTAAATAAGTAAAACCTGAGCAAAGAACAAACAGAAAAACATGTTTGCATTGAAGTGACAAAGGATGTGTTATTACACCAAGAGAGATTGATACAAAGTACTGAGTCATCAGAACACTTAGAGCAGAGAGAATTCATGCTGCTTGTTGTTTTTAGGTGAAAGAGAGGATTCCCAACAAGATGCATGAACACAGTGACTTTCACAATGGGCTTGACCATAACAGAGCTCATCGTGCTAGTGAAGGGTAGAGCAGGGTTCACAGGACCATTGTGAATGTAGTCAAGTCCATGCCACTTTCCCCAGCATGATGTCTCTAAGGACTAGCTCCTCCTGAAAATATGAGCAACAAGATACAAAGTTTAACCATCCTTGGCTGTAAGAGGCACTGTGATTATACCTCCCTCAAGACACACATCTTTGTTCTTTTGACAATCCACGGCACACTCAATACTCTTTGCCAACACCACAATTCAAAGGCATTATCTTCCTGAGTCTTCCTTATTTATTTTCCAAGTTTCACAAGTACCTGAAACAAGTGAAAATTACCTTGGCTTGAATCAATCTTTGAGCTGACACCTTTGATCTTCAGCACGTTGGAGAGGTCCTTGACAGCCGACTTCCTCAGTGCAACACCTTTTCTGTTTGATTTCTTGACTGCTGTTGCCGAGAGTGTTGATTATAGAGCCAAGTAAAATGAAATTGTTGATGACTTTGATCTTCTCCATCTCTCAGGATGTTGCCTATTGGTCCAGTGGTGAGGACTTTTGTTTTCTTGATGTTGAGATGTAACCCATGATGAAGGCTGTAGTTGTTGATTTTCTGCAGTAAGTTCTTCAAACCATCTTTATCCTAGTGACTGACATTTACTAAATGTTTTCCACAAGCCAAGGATTGTTAAAAAGGCTTGTATATAAGTAAATCACTGTTCAAAGTCACATCTTACATTTATGGAAATAGGTATAGGGGCATTAAGGAACTTCTCCAAGATCACTTAGCTAGATAAGGTACAGTCTGTATTTTAAACTTATAGTGTCTTGGCTCCAGAGTCTGTGCCCTCAACCACTATATAAATAGAAGTTGTATTTTGCAAGTATAAGTGGCATATGTTGTTGTTGTTGTTATGTGCCGTCGAGTCGTTTGCGATTCATAGCGACCCTATGTTCAACAGCCCTAAACCCTGCTCTATCCTGTGCTCCAGGCGGTAGCTTACAATCCTTCACAAGGCTTGGGGACTGGAGTCTCCCTCCACTCTGGAAGTCAGCTAACTGGCCGGATGGCTGGCATCTTGATGGCGGCTCGACTTGGTGGCAGTCAGGCAAGGGAAGTTTCTGGGGTCCTTTTTGCTATGTGTTACTGTTCTTTTCTGCCCTTCAAAAGTGGGTGGGCGGCCCAGAGTCTTAGGCTAAGGGGAAGTAAGGGTACAGCCTGGATGCCTGCTCCAGGTGGTAGCTTAAAATCCTTCACGAGGCTTGGGGACTGGAGGCTCCCTCCACTCTGGCGAAACATTCTTCTAGGTCATATAGCCCTGGTCTGTCCACTTGCTGTACAGAGGTAACTTGTGGTAGCTGTGAAGCTGAACACTGTGGCACTGATGTGTCAAATGCGAGAATGGTTACCCATGGTGGACAGTGTTTGGTGGAGCTCCCCGATTAAAACAAGCTTGGAAGCAGGAGTGGCATCCACTTCCGAAATAGCTTGTCTCTGGAAACCCTATGAGCCTGAGGAGAGGACAAAAGTTATACAAGTGTCTAGGTCTTTCATTCATATGGTCACTACGAGTCACCTACGACTCGACAGCACTTAACCACAACAACCACAACATTGATTAAGCTATGTAAGAATCCTGGTCGAGCAATGGTTACTAAGGGAAAGGTTAGTGATTCAAACCTACCAGCATTCTGCAGTAGAAAAGGGCTGATGACCTGCTCCTATAAATATTACAGCCTAGGCTGGTAGCTCTTTTCTGCCCTACACAGCGACTAAGATCAGAACTGACTCAGCAACCTCAACAGCCAATTCGTTTGTGGAGAGAAGGTGCTAATTCCCATCTCAGTTAGTAAGAAAAACATGAGACTCTATCAAATGCTCTGGGTAGTTGCTTTTTGGCAAGCCAGGGATGCGATTGCAAGACATCATCTTTGAAATGGACTCCCTGAACTCAATGGAGATGACGGGACCTTGGCATTGTGGAGACCAAAAGATAGAGCCTTACGTGGTGTGTGTGGTGGCCGTAATAGGATTAGAAATGAAATAGTGAGAATGTAGTGATCAAAGAGATCTCTGCCAGAAGTTAGTTGACCTGTTAAAAGAGAAAGTCTTGCTCTGTTGTTGTTGTTGTTATGTGGCGTCGAGTCATTTGCGACTCATAGCAACCCTATGTACAACAGCCCTAAACCCTGCTCTATCCTGTGTCAATCGCATTGCCTCTGAGACACCCATCCTGATTATCCCAGTCACTGAATCAATCCACCTCATAGAGGGTCTTCCTCTCCTGCGCTGTCCCTCTACTCTACCCAGCATGATGTTCCTCTCTAAAGACCTGTCTCTCCTTACAACATGTCCAAAATATGTCAGACGAAGCCCCAGAATCCTTGCCTCCAAGGAGCAGCCTGGTTTAACCCTCTCTCTACAAGAAGGTCTACTGGGTCAGCAGATGTTACAATAAACCTATATGCCACTTATGTACAAGTGGTATATAGGTTTATTGTAACATCTGCTAAGCCAGTAGACCTTCTTGTAGTCATGCACAGAAGAAACAACAAAAAGCTTCCAAACAACTAAATCAGTACCCTTGGAGGGGATGTGTGAAATCGTGACCATTTACAAGAGCAGAGTGCTATCTGAAACAAAACAAACACCATCAAAGCACGCACGCCAAAACAGAGCACCTGGTGCTGTCTTATGAGACCCAGAATTTTAAAAAAGGAACTTCAGTAAAGGCCAAATAGCTGGATGAATGCTGTGTTACAGAAGTAGATGTGGAAGAAAAGAGATCTTCCTAGAATTGAGGGTAAATTAAGAAAGACGTGGAAAGCCACAGAGAAAAGTTGAGACTAATGGTGAGATTCCTATGTACCCACAACCAGAAGCAGAGGACAGAGAATCGAGTATGCCTCTAGCAGACAGCGTCAGCTACCTACCTGCTC